GGTACCGGGCGCGGGGGCGGGAGGGTCGCGCCGCGCTCGGCTCGGTTCGGTTGGGCTCGGCTCGGTTCGGTTCGGCTCTGCGCGCGGACAGCGGCCCTGCAGCCCGGAGAGGCGCCGGGTGGCACCGGCGCTGCCGGGGCCGGGCCCGGGGTGCCCGGGGCGCGGCGCGGGGCAGCCTCATCCCGCCCCCACCGGCCACGGGGCTCCCTGTGTCTCCCTGCTCCTACTCTGCCCCAAAACGTGGGGGCTGGGGGAGGGCCCCTGCCCCCAGCACCCCATTCTGAGCACCCTGCTCCAAGCGCCCCATTCCAACACCCTGTCCTGCAGTGCCCAGCCAGACCCTGCCCCAAATGCCCTACATAGAGGCACTTGGGGGGCCCTGCCCCAAGCCCCCACGTGGAGCTGCCCACAGCACCTCCAGGGCGGCAGCTGGGCCGGCTCGTGGGCTCCCTGCAGCCGGCGCCGAGGGCAGCCGGGGCTGTGGTGCCCGAGGGGGCAGCCCGGGCACCACCTGCCTGCAGGGAGCCCATCAGGGCTGAGGGGGCCCCGATGCCAGTGGGGACGGGACAGGACAGGCAGCGGTGCCGGGCTGGGGAGCCAGGGGGCTGGAGCACCTGGGGTCTCCTGCCCTGCAGCCCCCGGCCCCATGGGTGCCCGCCCAGGACCCAGTCTCAGTCCCGCAGCCGCCTGCGCGGCTGCTCCGGGAGCCTGTGGAGCCTCGTGAGGAGGCGCCTGGCATGGCCCCCCCACTCCGGGAATGTCACTTTGTGTGCCGCGCGCCGCGCTGACGCCCGCCGAGGGCACGGCTGCCGCCGCTGCAGGATTCAGCCCACGTTGCTCCCAGCGCCGCGCTCGGCGCTTGAAGCCTTTGTGTTGCAGTGGGGGCTGCGTGGCCGGCGGCGCGGGGGGCTGCGCACGGGGGGCACCGTGCGGGGCTGCCCCCGGTCCCTGCCCTGTGCGGAGCAGCCTCGGGCTGCCGGGAAGCGGGAGCGTCTCGGCGGAGCTGCTTGCCTGCCCGCAGCGCGAGCCGATGCGTGTGAGTAATCAGGGTGACCCCGCGCTTGCCGCGGCAGCGGGAGAGCAGCCGAGTGCCACGCGGCCGCTCCGCGCAGCTGGAACCAGCCCTGCCGCTGCTCCCCGCGCGGGGCAGGAGCAGCTGGGAGCGGGAACCGACACTCTGAGGTGGCTTCTTTCCCATCTTTCCGATGTGGAGGGAAGTGTTTGAGACTTCCCAGATCGCTTGGAGGAGCGGAAGGGATTTCAATGTAGGAGCTCCGTTAGGCTGAGGTCATCTTCCTTATGCATTTCAATTATTGTAATTGTTTAATGGCCTGGTAGCGTGCAGAGGCCACAAATAATTAGTGGGTTTATTCCCATCTGTGGGAATAAACGGCCGTGGTTGTGAGCAGTGCTCCTGGGCAGCGGGTGCCTCCGGGTGGCGGAACCTCCGCTGATTCCTGCGCTGCCCGGGCTGCTGAGCCGGGGATGCCGGGGGCGCCAGGAACACGCTCCGCCAGGAGTATGTGTTGGGGACAGCAGCCCCGTGTCCGTGCTGCCCAGCACTGTCTGTCCGTGCCATGGCCGTCTGTCTGTCCGTGCCCAGGGCCACACCATGAGCCTGTCTGAGCCACCAGTGACGAAGCCGTCCTGGCTCTTCCCGGACGCGGCTCTGTGGCTCTCCACGAGCTTCTGGCACCGGCAGCAGCACATCCCGTCGCGTGCCAGGCTCCCGGGAAGCTCAGGGTGCAGGAGCTCCTGCTAGGATGAGTCTCCAGGGCCAGAGCCACAGGTTTTGCTGCTCAATGGGGCCTCTAAGGAGCTCAAGGCTGCTGCTGGGGACTCTGCATGATGAGGGTCTGCTGACCCCTGTGTTGCGGTGCTGCAGAGCAGCCTGGGGTGCAGAAAGGGCTTCTCCCCACGTCACCCGCCAGGCCGAGGCCATCGGCCGCAGCACCCCGGCTGCACTGCTCTTCCTCTTTGCATCCTGCCCAAAATGGGGACACCAGTGCTCCTTTGCATTGCAGAGAGACGTGGGGAAGCGTGTGAGTAACGGGAGCAAGAGGCACTGGTGTCACGACAGCCGCATTCGCGTCCATGGGAGGCAGCAGAACAATTTGGCTTCTCGGGCTGCTCAAAGGCTTCATGCTTGGCTGTGGCTCCTGACACGTGGAGCCTCCAGCTGAGCGAGGGGCAGAGCTGAGGCCGCCACCAGAGCGATGGGGATGGCGGGAGGCACTGAGGACACTGTTGCACCTCCCGAGCGGCAGGGTCTGTCCCTGGGACACAGATGGGGCCAGGGCAGCCTCGGGAGCAGCCGGCCTGTGGCTGCTGCGGCAGGACCTGGTGGGAGCTCTGTCTTCTGCCCGCCCAGGTGAGCCTTGTCCCAGGCTCCGTGGCTGCAGGAGTGACTAATTTCTTGCAGAGCTCTTCAGCCAGTGACCTAAATAGGGATGCGTGTGGATCCCCTGGCTCATGCGAGCTGCCACTTCCACAAGGAACTTGCTGACACAGAAAAGAGACCTTTGTACCGGTAAAATTCCTCCGAGGCGCCCGAGCGGTGCCTGCCGTGCGTGTGCTCGGTGGTGTGGCGGAGGTGTCGTTTCGAGACAGCTCGCAGCCGCGGGGGATGACACGAGCTGCGCCCGGCCGCGCCAGCCCGGTTCCTCGGCAGAGCTGCTTATGCCGAGCGGGACCTCGAGCGCCTGGAGGTGCCGCCGTGGGCGACGGCCGGGGCGATGCGGGAGGAACCGGCCCCAGAAGCAGCTGAACGGCCTGGACTTGCCTAACGCTGCCAAATGTCGCTGGGCAAGGTCACGTTTGCTCGCTGTGGGAGTGGGAGGGCTAAATGCTAACGAGGGAGAGACGCTGCTGAAGCGCAAGCTCTATATTGGCACAAAAACAAGCGGATGTAACTGTCCATGATTAAGTGCCTGCAGGAAACGAGGAGGTTCGTGAGCCTTGGAGCAGTTGGGCTCTGGAGGAGCATCCAAGAGCAGCCAGAAGGGCTGGAGCGGCTCCGCAGCAGGGCTCCCTGCGCAGGGTCCCTCTCTGTCCTGCCCACAGCCACACATGGTCGCGGTGCCGGCTGCAAACGCTCCGAGTCTTCTCAGACAGGATGGGATTAACTGCTCCCGACTGCTGGGCGGTGGACCTGGCTTCTGCTCTGACATCAGCTGTGAGCAAATGCCTCATCATCTGGTGCCTGCCCTCGCACTCCGTAGTGTGTCCTCTCCTTCCCTTTCAGGGATTAGGGAGAGCAGAGATTTTGTCCCAGGGAAGTGGTGGTGCCAGTGAGCAGAGTTGGGTCATTAGCTGTTCTCCTGCAGGGTTCCACCACAATATGACTTCCACTCTCATAAATCTAATCTCCTGGCTTCCTATGTCTTGAGGAGAAGATTTATGTGTCTGCTCTGGTTTTCCCTCTTCCACAGAGATTACAGGGAAAGGAGGTGGAGGACGGGTGCAGAAAGTATCCAAGTTGGCCAGAGAGGCGG